TGAAAGGAAAAGGAGGGACAGAGTTATAACAATATCATATATCATAACAGAGGAAAAAAGAAAACCTTTTGCTCTGTTGGTTCCAGACATGAGTCACATCTGATAGCCAATCACATAGTCACAAGGTATCAAAAGCCAGGCTCAGGATTAGCCAAGTGGGGAAATTTCCTGTTCCAAAAGGAAATACTATCATGGGGAAACTAAGACAAGAGAATCTTATCTTAGATCATGCCAAGGTCATCCCCTCAACTTTCCCGAGGGACAGCTATCCACTTACAGCAATTTGCAGATTGTAGCACATGCCATTTTTTACTATTGGCTTCATAACAATTCAGACAACCATTCCTGTAATCAAAACTCAAAACAAAATTATACTCCCAAGAGTTCTTACCTTAAATAACACAATTTCACTAACCCTAGCTTAGGGCTTGAATATTATTAATTTCCTCATGCTTCCCTAATAGTTACACTTCATTTATCCTTTATTTATAAATTAAAACTAACTACATTCTGGGGCTTCAGATATATAGCAAATACCTGAGAGCTGATTCATATTAATGAAGTTACATCTTTAAACCACCCTTTATATTTTCATAATTTTATAAGTCATAGCCAAAAATTTTCAAATGAAAACTCACTCTATCACAGTAAATTATCTGTTTTAAAATAAAATATACCCATTAAATATTTGATAATTTTCAAATATCTAAAAAATTTTATCACATTCTTTTAACAGATCAATTCATAATACAATTTCATCCAGATTTTTTTAAAAGTTGTTTTTTCTAACATTTCTGATAAAATTTAACAAATTTTATAAGATAATTTAGAAATACAATAATAACATGCACAATATCATGCATTTAAAACATGAAACAAAACTTATTAGCAGTCAGATGACATCAATTCAGCTAAATGCATTTCCAAGTGACCTTATATAGAAAATCATTACTTTTTATTACCTTTGGCATTTTATACTAATCCCATCTAAAGCCCAGTATGCAATTACATTAAATTAAGTAAATAATAATAACATGGTAAACAAAAATTTTATAAACCCCTGGCCAAAGCCACTCTATTTTGCTTAAAAAACATTGCATATGATACTTAGATAGTATAGTGGCATAGAGAAGACAAGCTAAGTCCATACAAGGCCATGATAGTTCCATCAGAATTATGAAGAACTTGACCCTAACACAAAGTCCCAATCTGGGAAGTAAGGGTAGAAGAATGAGTAAATTTTAAAAGGATAAAGAGCTATTATGATGTCAAGGAAGATCAAGACTCAAACTCTAAAGAGGAAAATTACTCCAAAACACCTACAAGTAAATCCTCACAAGATAAATTAAAATTCCTAGAAGAAGTGAAGCCAGATTCAAAAAAAAGTTAAAAATAATATTTAAAATGAAGTGAGAGTGCTAGAGGAAAGAATTGGAAAAGGAATACCTACCATGAAGTAGACTTGGAAAGAGAATTAACAGTTTAGCACAAGAGGTACAAAACCTTATCCAAGAAATAGAATCCCTGAAAATTAAAATGAACCACACAGAAATTAATGACTCTTTAAGATAACCAAAAAACATTAAAACAAAATCAAGGATTGAAAAAAGAAAATAAATTATTTCTAAAGATTGTCACTAAGATGTAATCATATTTAGGAACTTCCAATTAACCTTGGTCTAGCAAAACACTTCAATCAGCTGTGGACTTCTACGTAATTTATGCAGCCTTTTTGTTTATAATGTACTTCATAAGTATCTTAATCTGGTTTCAAGGGCTGGGAAAGGTACAGAATGAAGGTCTTGTCTCCAAGTCTCTATAAGAAAACTGCCCAAAGGGAGGTAGTAAAATAAATAAAGAGAAGTACTCTACTCACAATATTTATTCATTCAACAGGCTTTAATGTGTACATGTGTAAGGGACTGCAGTAGGCCTGGTAGGAGGGGCACAAAGATGAATACGTTATAGTATCTGTCCTTAAGGAATTTATAATCTATAAGGTAATATATATAATGATAAAAACTGACATTAATATAGTGCTTTTATAATATGAAATAATATACATTATTTCGCTTGACCTCCCAACAATCCTGTGATGTAGGTACTATAGTTATTACGTACAGATATAACTACAAAAATTATATGATGAGATAGAAATAAAATGTTATAGGAATTGAGAGGGAAAGATGAGTTCTATCTGGGTTGATCAGGGAAGACTTTGTTAGGAAGGTAGTATTTAATCTGGGCCTTGAGACAGTTCCATAAATAGAACAAGGGAAGGAATGGCATTCCAAGTGGAGGGGACAGCATGAACAAAAAGACTGAAGCACAAAAATACTAGTGTATTTGGGGAAGCATAAGGAAACCAGTATGGCTGGAATACAGGGTTTGTGTCAGGAAGTAATGGGAGATCAAGCTGGACAGGTAGGATGGAACCAAATTGTAGAAGGCTTTTAATGCCTGCCTGAGTTTGGACTTGGTAGATGGAGTGTGGTGCAGCGGGAAAAAAAAAACCCAGACTATGTAAGAGTCAAATATCCATGGTTTTTTGAGTCTCAGTTTTGTTACTAATGAAGTGTATGACCGCGTCACTTCCAAATCACTTCCCTTTTCTTCACCTCTACATTATCATCTGTAAAATTAGAGGATGGAAATTTCTAATTTTCCTCCTAATCTTGACAGAATATTAATTTATAACTTTATTCAGTAGGCAATAGAGAATAACTGAAGGGTTTTGAGAAGGCAAGTAAAGCGATCAGATGTATGTGGCATCTGAACAAGAGTCTGAACAAAATGGACATGAGGTAAGGACAGCAGCCGAGGCTACAGTTAGTGGGCTCCCACAATAATCCAAGCAAGAAATAATGAGGGCCTAGACTAGGGTAATGACAATGGAAAAGGAAATGAGGACACTGAGCCATAAACATTCCTTTTCCTAATCCCTGTCAGATTTAAGACTGAAGAAGTTTCCTGAGGGAGGAAAGAAATGAAAACTTCCTCTTCAACCCCTAATCTTATTCAGGTGTGATAGCCCTTGCTTAGGAGGTCTGAAAAGGAATAATTTGATTCAGAAAAACAAACATGTTTGGGGTTTATTTGCTGTGTTTAGGGTTACATAGCAAATACTATACCTATGAGCCACCAGTTTTGGTAGCTAAACATTATTCTTGATAGCCAAGGCTACTGAGGTTCACTCTACCTTAACTACTGATTACATTTCATATCAGTAACACCACAATGTGGCTTCTTCAAGAACAGTGTACTCCTTCTCCTTGGCTCATGTTCAGCTTTTTGTTCATTTCTCTACAGGATCTGAGATGAAATAAAGTCAGTAATTAAGGTAAATATACTGTTATTCAAGGAGCCATAAACATTGCACAGCAGTGGAGGAGGGTTAGTATAAATAATTCTGAACTTGGAATCAAGAAAGATCTGAAACTGAATTCTATTTCTGACATTTATAAGCTATGTGATCCTAGACAAATCACTGTATGTTTCTGAGCTTCCATTTGCCCATCTGTAAAACAGCAGAAGTGCTATTTTACATGGGATGGTTGTGTGAAAGATACCTTGTAAATATTAAAGTATTATGGAATCGGGAATTTTTATTACTACAGCAGTCTTATCTTCTGAAGAATGTAGATGGCTTCCTTTAAACCTACTTTGTTATCCTACCATGTAGGTTCACTATGTGACAATGAAGTCATACAGGATAATAATTCAGTCTTTATATTTACTTTAGTAATAAAGGCACTTATACTTCACAAGCTCTAGCTTTATGCCCAAGGTCTTTGCAAGTTTAATCTTTTGGAGATTTTTCTTTGGATTCAAGACATTTAGAAGAGTTCTTGTGTGCAAAGTTATATATTCAAGCCATAAGCTAACTGCAAAATCATTCCATGCTCAGTTGTCCAGGCAACTGACTATTCCATGTTACTGGAGAATACCTCCATTGTAGACTGCTGTCTACAATAGTGTAAAAACTGTTTAAAAGATAGTTTTGGGCAGTTTTAAAACTAGCACTAAACATCTTTTCTTTCCTTGACAAGTATGATATTCAAACTGGAAGTCATCACCAATGACATAACATATAAAACACATTTTGCAACCTTCAAGTGCTACAGAAATGTCAGTATAGCGTAGCAAAGACAGCCTCAGAGCCAGCAAGACCTGAGATCAAGTCCTGCCTCTGACATACAACGGCTGTGCGACCCTGAACAAATCATTTAACCTCTCAGTGTTCTTCTCCAAGAGTTTAAGACTATAAGTTGCAGAGAAGGTACCAACCTACATTAGGAGAGGTAATTTCCTCATTTGGGAGTTCCCTATAATGAAATCACAGGTTCAGTCCTTATCCCTGTTATCATCATTACCATCATTATCCTCCCCTCTACACACACATACAGCCATAAACTGTCTTCAGCACTATCAAAAATTAAATGAAAACCTCCACTGTCTATCAGATTATATTCCAGGACAGGTGGCACTGACCAAGGCAAACACATGATGGCCATACTGCATATACTCCAATTTTAAAAGTACAGGGACATGACATTGAAATTATGTCCTAGAAAAATAACAAAGTATGTTTAGCAGAATAGTGAATGAAAAGAGCTGTGGGAGTTGCATGCTTAGATTGGGTGGGGAAGGAAAGTACCTTTCTTCTGGTTAATCTGGAAAGGCAGAATGGAAGAGGTAGTATTTCAGTGATGAAAGGAAATGAATTTGGCAAAGTAGGGGGAGGTTACACCAAGGAGAGGGTGCATCTTAGAAGAACATTTGGATTTGGGAATGAGTTGACTGAGCAAAAGAGTTGGATCAATTTGCTTGGAAGGAGTAATGGGATTGGTCAGTGGTATGGAGGGAAAGCAAAACAAATGAGGAAATTGAGGGGAAGAGAAGAGTTGATTCCCTACTGAAAAAAGACTGGAAGCCCAGAAGCAAGTCAAGTGGTGGAGATAAAGCTCAGCATAAATTCCAACAATCAAAAAAACAGATGATACATTCATGAATAGTTGTATTAACTATATGTTTGTGATAGTTGTTCATTGATTCATTGATCAAACTCTGTAGATTAGGCTTTCATCTTCCACGACTTCTTAGGAGACTTCTGGCTGTCTTCTTTTACTTGGAAGAAGCCCACAGGGCACATCAATTTTCAGCACTTTTGTGGGGAGTCAAAAGCCTAATCTATAAACAAGGAAACCAGAATGGTTAAATTTCTAATTCAGGTGCCTTTTTCATCTACTTTTAGTCATGACATCAGCATTTTCTTTCTGCTTTCTTCTTGGGACTCTTCATTTGAATCAATGCTGTCTATTATCTTAGGCTGTCCCATTAATTTTATAGCTGACCTTTTCTGAGTTTTATCAACCATTTACCTCTTAATAGGGACAATCCAGTGGTATAAATCCATGGGTGAGTTTTGGTTGCTTGTAAGCCTTCTTATAATTTGCTGGTCCTGATGTTTGTTCTGTCTTCAACACGTCACTTGTTTTGAGTTATCTAGAGGTTCCTGGCCCGGTCACAGTTGTGGTATAATAGAACAAATACTGGCTTTGGAATCAGAAAACCTAGGTTTAAATCCCACTACCTCTATGGCATTGAGCACTTCCCCTGTCTGGACCTATTTCCTTTTCTGTAAATTTAAGGCATTGGACCAGAGTCTAAAACCTCTTCCAGCTCTTAACCCAGTGAAGTGTCAACTAAGTAGCTCCAACTCTCTTCTGCTGTACTTGTTTTTTTAAACATTTCCCCAGGGGAAGAGGAGTTGGCTCACAGTTCCCATTTCCTCTCAATGCATTAAGGTCTTATTCCCCTACCTTTTTTTTCCTGTCCTATTCTAGTCATCTGATCTTCATGTATCAGTCTTGGTTTGTATTTGTCAGTCTATAGCTCTCTCATCCATTGGTCTATATTCCTGGTTGCTCGGTCAGTTAACACCTGCCTTTGCCCATACTGTTCCTATATTTTAGTATCTTAACAATCTGAAGTTAAAAGACCTGAGTTTCAATTCTACCTCCAATACTTATGTGTGTTCTCATGGGCAAGTACTTAACCTCTTTGAGCCTCATCTGTAAAATAGAGATAATAATACTTTTACTTCTTATTTCACAAGGTTCCTGTGAAGGTTCTCTACAAAAATAAGCTATCTTTATTATTTGTATTCTTGTTCTCTTTTCTCCCTTCCTCTCTGCCTTTTCAAGACCAGCTAGACAGGGAAATTATGACATTTGATCATAATATGATACCTGACCTTCAGGACCTCATACTCTGGTAAGGAGATAAGGCAAAAATACATATAATTCTAATACATAATTTTACCATTAACTGTATTTTTAAAAAAGTGCTATGTGAGGTCCACACAGAAAGTCATTACCAATCCCAAGGGGCCCAGGGTAGGGTTCACAGAACAGAGTGCATAATATGATGTCATTAATCTTCTACTGTCACTTAACCAGCCCCCAACTTCCTTTTCAGAGGTACCACAGTCAATATCTTTGTGGTAATTTTGGTACTTGCTATGCCATGATTTCAATGTAATGCATGTGGTTTTTAAAATCTGGTTTGGTTATTCTCCTTACTCTGGTATATATTTCTCCCTTCATTAGAAAGAAAGGATTTAAGATGGCTAAGTTAATCATACACTGAGTCCCACTCCATTCTATCAACCTACATCCACATTGGTAATTTTGGTCTCTACAAAATATAGACTATTGCTATTCCCCTTTTGATCAAGGTTCATGAAACAGAGGTAGGTAAAACAATATTGTAAACAGCATCCCTACAGATTGTTTAGCAGGGGAGACATTAACAAGGTCACAAGCAGATATGCTTTCCACACATAACCAGATAGCCAATTCTATCATTACGGGAAAGGAGATGCTGTATAAATAGTCCCAGTAGCCCCCTTCTTATAGTATAGCTGCTCTTACTTCCACTCCCTCCCCTGGGCAAATCAACTAAAAGTCAGAGATTAAAAATCAGAAAAAGATGTAGATCTTCACTGTTTACTTGTTAATTACTTTGGATCATTCCCCTTGGACTGCAGATGAGTTTGGGGTATTATTATAAGCAACTGCTGGGCATTTGGCAACTAAATGTTCACTCAGAGCTGTGAGCCCAGGGAATTTGCATTAATGCTAGCTATCTTGGAATTTCTTTTATAACTATCCATTGTTGTGAATTCTCTGTTTCCCTGAGAGCATATGCCACTAGGTATGGACTCTAGGGCAGAATGTACTAAGTGTGTGTACTCTTAGAGGGCAGAATCCCTCGGTGCAATAGGGTCCACCTGTTTTGTATGATCTGTGGATGAGGCTGAACTGTGGGGGGAGGGGGAGGAGGAAGGAGAGGGAGAGGGTTGCCTAACTGAAGCTGACAATGGAAGCTCACTATAAAATAAGGGTTAAGGCAATGCAAATGGCCAGAGAATCCACTAATAGATGGGCTGGGACTATTCCTGAGGTTTCTCTTGAGAGCTGAGCTGAGGAAGTGAACTTTCCTTCACAATAAATTCCTTTGTCTCTAAAAATAACTTGAGGATTACTCTTTTAAAATTAAAAGTAATATGATGGCAAATAACTTCTCATTAAAGTTTTCTTTTATTGTAATGACTTATACTTTGTTTCCACTACTATTTTTGCAGGAATCCATAATACCCTGTGCTAAATGTTTCAAGTGTTAAAAGATAAACAATAATGAATGTGTTGGCTTAAATCTGTGTTGGGCTCTAGTTTCCAAAATAAGCTAAGAGTCACTAGAAAAATTCACTCTTACTAGATAATCAGATTGTTCCTTAAAATAACCCCACCCCATATAATTTGATAACTCATCCAAATTCAGATTTTCTATACACAAGCTAATTAAATATAGTACTTAATGCAACCTTTGAAGAAATGATTCCCAAACTCAGCTTCTGACCTAAGTTACACTAGGGTTAGATCAAGGAGGGAACTAAACACTACTTACCAGAAGTCTTCATGGTAAAAACAGATGTCCCCTGGACCATCTCAATGGCCTTAGGGATCCCTGTGTGGAGAGCACAGGCTGAGTCAGAGGACTCCCAGATGCTTCCCATGCAGATCTAGGGTGACAAGAAAAGATTCTTGGTCATCTTTGGGTAAGACTAAATAGTATCAAAGGTTCCTTTTAATTGAGATTATGTGAAATACTGCTAAAAATGCATAATCATCAAAGTATTTAACAAATACTGAGGATCTACTATGTCAAAAGTTCTGTGCTAGATACCATGAGACAACCCAGAACATACAAAACATAGTCCCTGCCCTCAAGGAACTCATTAAATGGGACAAATTTTTTTAAAAAGTGACAACCTGTTCCTCTGGAAAGATTGCATTTTATCAATTACAGAGCACACCTTATATTCTTAACCTACAAATTACTGATGTTGAAACTGTCATTGTTTACTGTTCTGAGCAAGAGGGAAAGACGAAAACATAGCAATGTTATTATATAAGAGGTGGGTCTCAGTCCCTCCTGGAACCCTACCTAGGCAATTTCAGGTTTAAAAATGGTTTATTTAAAAATTAAATTGGTCACTGGTTACCCACTCCTTTTTGACAAATTTTGCTGGTGGATCTGAGTGCAATGTAGATATTGCCTGTACAATGGCCCTGTCTCTCTCAGTTCCCTAGAATCTCCCTCAATGTTAGATACCCATTTTTAACATTCAGAACTTATCTGGGAAATGACTGTTGTAAAATATACTTGTAGTTTAAGTCCTAATATCCCAGAAGGAGATAGTACATTTCATATAAACCCTTAGAAGAGCTTAGTAGTTCTCATCTACATTGTACTTTGAGAATCTGAGGCAATTTCATTTATATTCCATCATTTGATCTGTACAACAACCCCATGAGTTATGTAACAATAGTATTATTGTCCCCATTTTACAGATGAGGTAATTAAGGTTTGCTTAAGCTCACAAAACTAGTAAGTAGTAGAAATGAAACTCAAACCTGTATCTTCCCACTCCAAATTCAATGTGCTACTGCTACATCATCAGTAAAACCGAAGGATAGTTTTTATATATACAGGTGTGCTACAGAAAGGACTGCTATCACACAAATCTCTGTCATACTTAGTCAGTGGTCTTTTCTGTTCAGAAATCTTCAGTGGCTCCCCATTGTCAATATAAAACAAAAACTTCTTAGCTTGGTATTTGAAGCCCTTTACAATCAGGCTCCCAAAGAGATAAGTGGTATATAGCAAAGAGGAAAAAATATTGGATTGGGAATCAAAAGGCTGGAGTTTGAATTCTAATATTTCTGCCCCCTTACTACTTGTATAGCCTGGAACAAATCACACAACCTTCCTAGAATTTAGTTTCCTCATCTGTGCTAGACTCTAGAAGAGGTTAAACTAAATGACCTTTGAGATCCCTTCCAACATCACTTTTATGACTTCCTTTTCATTTTTATTTCGTTCTGCTCATGTCTATTCACTCCGTTCTAGCCAAATTGTACCACTGAGTGTTTCTAATTCTTCATCTGCTCTCTTCAGCATTCAAGCAAAGTATCCTCAGTACCTGGGAACATACTTCTTCTATGTCTCCATGCACTGAAATTCTTCTTTCATACATACCTGATCTCTCAGCTGAAAATCACTTTTGTCAGCTTCAGCTTTTATTTTCTCTGGACCTCTGTTCCATTCGTTTCATCACACTCTTTCTAGTTGTTGTTGTTGTTGCTATTTATCTACATGTCTTATCCCCACTATTAGGCTATAAGCTTCTTCAGGCCAATGATCATGCTGTTTTTCATTTTTGTATATCCAGCACCTATAATAATGGACTACATATAGTATGTAATGTTTTTCTAATTGAATTTCCTCACCAGCAGCAACTTTCAATTCAGTTCAAGTACTTACAAGAATTATATCATTGTATTTATTGCTGCCTTCTCAAAAGCTTATGATAGCTCCCAAAAACTTTTAGAAATATATTTAAGTTTCTAATCACAGGCCTAAAGGTCCTGAACCACTGGATTCTGTTTTACCTAAATTGCCATCTTCAAATATTCCCTAACTGCTTTTGGGACCCAATTCATTTCTACCACACACGGACAAAAAAAAAAAGACAAAAACTGATAGTGTGTCACAGCTATAAGCAACCTCTGACCTCTCATTTTACAGAGTATTAAACTGATGGGCAGGGATGAGAAAGAAGCATTGCGATACCGGTGAGAGAGGATGGATTTGGAGTTAGATCTGAATTGAAACCCAGGCCTTCCTCTTATTACTTGTGAGACTTTGGACTATTCACAACCTGTTAGGTTCCTTTCAGCTCAAAGTTTAAGATCTCATGCAATTATGATCCTAAGTGACTTATCAAAATTTTGGTCAAATAAAATGGCCATTTCGCTCATGAGTCATCCTCTATTACCCATCTCCCTAAATATTTTTTTCTTTTCTATCAAAACACATTTCCTTCCCCAACTCCTTTAGAACAATGCCCAAGATCCACCTTTACAAAGAAGCATGCCTAATTCTCACATTTTACAGTTTTCCCAGGCATACTAGCAGCCCCTTTGTATGATTCATTATCACCTTCATCAAGTAACCGGATGTTAGTGTTTCTGTTGTTTGAGCTTTGGTTTTCTGGGAGCTTTTGGTACAGAGTAATCATTCCTTCTAAACAATAAGCATTTACTGACTGTTTACTACATGCTTAATACTGATAGGAATAGAAAGAAGCATAAGATATGGGTCTAACCTTCAAGAAGTCTATGGCTCATTTGGGAAGATTATTAACCCTTGTCAAAAATCACTATAAAACAACACAAATGCCCTCCTTTAAACAAGGAATTTACTACTGGAGTGTAGTGGAGTGTGACTTGGTCTGGGATGAGGAAACCTGCATACTAATTCTGGACTCTGCCATTAACTACCTGTGTGACCTTAGGCAAATCACTTCCCTTCCCTGGGCCTTAAATTCCTCCTTGTAAAATAAGATGGTCTACAAGGACCCTTCTAGTTCTGACATAGGATGGCCCTTCCTCTTTATTAAGAGTGTGGAAAGCACTAGCTTATATTTACAGAGCTGCAGCTAATACTTAGAAAGGACCAAAGGAGTGTTGCAAATCATAGTGACCCGACAGAGGTCTGCCTTGCTCCCACCACCCTTCTCCAAAGTTTTGACAATGATCAATCCCCAGTATCACTTAGAAGAATACAATTGGAGCCTGGCCTTTACATGCTAGAGAATGTTGTGGAAGGGTTTCCTGCACCAATCCTGGATGTGAAGGGACAACAGCTGATCTGAGTCCCCTACTACCCTGAGTTACTGTGCCACATAACTCTTACCCCAGCATCACCTCCCTCTGCAGTCAGTAACAAGATCTTGGATTTAAGGGAAGAAACATTTATTAAGCACCTACTATTTGCCAGGCTCTGTGATAAGTGCTTTAAGACTATTATCTTAGCCGATCCTAACAGTTCTCTAGGTGCTATCCCATTTTACAGCCAAGGAAACTGGAACAGTCAGAGGTTAAGTGACTTGATTGTAAATGTAGTTAATGTATACAGCTTGTAAATGTCTGAGGCCATATTTACACCTAGAATGGTCATCTAATCCACCTTCTACAGACGGAGAAACTAAGGCCCAGAGAGGTTGAAATGACTTTGTCCAAGCTCACACAGGCAGTAAATAAATAGTAGAGCTCATACTGGAAGCCAGGTCCCCTGCTTCCAAACTTGGTGCTTTCTTTCCACTGCCCCTGTGTTCAACCCTCAGTGTTCAAGCTGTCCTCCCTCGGGCAGCCAGCCCCAGGGGGACCCAACCAGCTAATGAGGTGGTCATTCTCGCCTCGGTCAGTTTGTCAGACAGTGGGTAGGCTGGTCCACCACGCCTTCGTCACTAGGTCAGTCCTCAGCAAAGCAAGCGCGACCACTTCTAGGAGGTCAACCTGCGCTCCCACCGCCTAACAGGCCCGGGCTCCAGGCTCCCGGCTCCCAGGACTAGGAACCAGTCTCGGGAGGGGAGGAGGAAGCCAGTCTCACGTGGGGGCGGGGAGGAGGCGGGAGGGGTCGAGTCTCTACGTAGGAGCAAACGCCGACACCCCGCCCCCCATACTCAGGTAAACGTGGCCCGAGCAAGCGTCTACCTCTAACGAGACAGGCAGATCCTTCTAAAGAGGAGCGCCCCTCTCGCGAATTAAGGTTCACTCCCGTTAATGAGGCCCAAAGGCCTGTGTCCAGCCTCAGTCCCGCTTACCCCAGCGTAGGAGGGGAGCACATCTTAAGTACGAAGGGAAACCTCCCGAGCTCCCTTGAGGTTCAAGCCCAAGCTCCGCCCTCGGCGGTGCGAGTTGAGCAAGACTAAGACCCCCTCCCTCCCGAGAATGAGGTGGGCAGGCCCAAGCTCCGCACACTTCCCAAAGTGAGTTGGACAGCACTTCCCCCCTTCCGCGAAAGTGATGGACCTGCCCGAGCTCCGCCCTCTCCCAGGGGGATGAAGGACTTGGGAGGACACCCCTTTCACCACCCCACCCAACCCCGGCCGCTTCGCTCCCTCCTACTAGTAGTTTGGGATACCCGGCTTGGTCTCAACTCCAGAGAGAAAGGGGCGGAGTTTTGGAGGAAGCCTGTGATACGCTGTCGGGCGCACGCGGAAGGCGGGGCAGTCGCGGAATGATGACGCCCTGCTCTCGGATCCGTTAAAAGAGCCTGAGGGGGGGAGCCGGCCCCCACCTTACCTCCTCAACTGATTGCTCATGGCGCAGCCGGGGTACTGCCTAGTTCACCTCGCGCTCCTTCCGTTGTTTTCCTGCCCGTGAGCCAGCGAACGAAGGAGTGCGCGTGAAGAGGGACGGCTGGAGCTCCGGTGCAGGACGCGTTGGGGGGACACTGAGGCTGCGACGGCGGCGGCCCCCAGGAGACGGGGTAGAGAAGGGGCAGGCAGCGCGGGCAGCAGGATGGCGGAGGGCAGCGCAGTGTCGGACCCTCAGCACGCCGCCCGGCTTCTCCGCGCTCTAAGCTCGTTCCGAGAGGAGGCCCGCTTCTGCGACGCGCACCTGGTGCTGGAGGGCGAGGAGATCCCGGTGCAGAAGAACATCCTGGCGGCCGCCTCGCCCTACATCCGGTGAGCCCGTCACCGTCCGTCCGAGCCTGGGCCTGGGTGGGGCGCAGCCCGAGGGGTGTCAACACTTCCCCAGGGCAGGACGGCCCCAGACCTGGGCTGCCTCCTTGGAAGCTGCCCTTGGACAGCACCCTTCTCCTCCCACGGGCCACCCCCTTCTCGGCTCTAGGGGCCACTTGTTAGGGGTGAGCCCCCCCCTCCCCGGGGCTCGCAGGGCGGGGGAGAGGCGGGGAGGGCGGGGTCCCCCACTTAAGAATCCACATACAAACAAACCGCTTCTTCGGGACTTAGAGGAAATGCACCTTTGAGCTGTTCTGTCTAGTTTGTTACTGTGGGTGTAGACAAGCAGTCGGCCCCAACATTGCTTTTCTTCCCATCCCCTTTATGAGATACTCAGATTTACTAGCGTTTGTGTTACGGAGACATACTAGAAGTGAGAGTTAATAAAGTAGAAAAAACTTGTATTGTATGCAGTTACAATCCCCAGGAGCCATTACGCGCTGGTGACTAAATGAACATTTTAAAACTCTTCCTTAAAACAAAGTTTAACCTGATTTACCAGCTCAACAAAACTGGCTAATTAAAGATAGATGCAACTGTTTACACAAGGTTATTACCGCCATCCCCCCCTCCCCTTATCTTTTCTTACATCAACTTTGCTGCCCTTACTCGGTTGTTTTGACAAACTAAAACGCTGAAAGCAGCATTTAGGAAAATAAATTGTCCAATTAGCCAATTAAATATTGGTTAATAGATGGAAATTTTCATTTTATAGTGACAAAGCAGGAAAGCAAAATCATGTCCTGTCCTTATTGCACTGTCATACCACTGTTACTTTTATAATCTTTAAAGTAGAGAGTTTTTTATTGACTGGAATCTACCTATATGACTAATGTTAACTTACTGGAACTTCTCTTAATTGTTTGCCTTGAGTAGAGTTTGTAAGCCTAGGATAGGTAAATAGCATGACATAGGGTTGGAAAGATAGGGCAACAATAGACTGTGTACGACCTTGAATGCCAGGAGACTTGATTTTACTGATATGAAAGCTTCCTGAAGGTAGATAGTTAAGAAACCTGAAATACACATTTCAAATTTGAGTTATTAAGGACTATTTAACTTGATATCTGTTATTCCGTGATAGTAAGGTATTAAGCAACTGTATTTTTGTTTTATTATTGTTGTACTTCACTAAGTGGTGAAAGATATACTCATCTTTTTGACACTAGAACTAAATATGGTCAGGAAGTACTTTAGCACAGCTCTTGTGTGCTGGTATTACTTTGCTCTTAAGCTTAGAATGTAGTAGCAGAGTAATCTATCCAGTTGATGTGGATGTATAAAGGTTATTTTCCAATTTGTTGGACAACTTCTTAGCTAAATCATCTATATGCATGGCATCATTAATTTAGTGGCAGAAGGGACCTTGAATGCCATCTAGTACAGACCCTCATTTTACAGAGGTGAAATTCACTAAAAGCCAAAGAAGGACAAGAAATAGAATCTGGATTCAGACTCATTTGCTAATTCCAAAGGGTTCCTTCAACTCTTATTTTGCTACCCTAATTAATTCTTAAAGCATTCACTTGATAGTTTTTTGTTTGTTTTAAACTCCTATATGATTGGTACTTTTAGGTCTATAATAAAACATCTTTTCAGTATCAACTTTTTCTCAGTGCTAGAATGTTCAAATATTCTTGGGGTTTTTTTTTTCAAATCATCTTATGATTTCAAAACTACTTTACATAAAGCACTATTTTATCAGGTACCTTAAATAACCCAAATAACAAAATAACAACAACAAAAAAAACTTCTTGAACATTCTTATGATTCTGAGTAACTAAATATCTTAATTTAAAAATAAAAGAACTTGTTAAGCTTTTTTTAAACAAATGTCAAATTCCATATAGTTAGCATCATTCATGTCCTGGAAGTTGGTATAGCTGTATTATTTTTTTTCCTTGAATGAGGATTGTAGTGTCATGTTTTTCTCAGTGATCTACAAATAGCTTAACTTCACATTTCAGCTTGGGCTAACTTTCATAACTGTCATGAACTATCCAGACCTCTTACTGATAAAAGCAACATAGTGTTATACTCAGCACTGCCATACAACATTTTCTGTACACATCAATTTCTCATAGTGGCTGGTGGAACTGATTAACAGTGCTGTAGGCTAAGCTCCCATACAGTACAATTTAGGATTATAAATCTAAAGCTGGAAGGTAACTTAGAGATAGTCTTATTACACAAGATCACAGATCCAAAGCTGGAAGGGACCTCAAGGGCCAACTAGTCCAGCCCCCTCATTTTGCGGGTAAGGAAACTGAAGCCAAAGAGATTAAGTGAACCCAAGGTCACAGAGTAAATTACAGAATCCCAATTTAAACCTTGGACCTCTGACCCCACTCTGTGTGGTCTTGCCTTGACTCCCTATGCCAGAATGTTTTGGTTTTTTTTTTTTTCAAACCTTCATACAGGAAAGCTAACAGGACTAGAATGGTGAAAATGGGGCAGTTTGGTGACATCAGATAGACAACTGGCTTGGAGTCAGGAAGACCTGATCTCAAATCTGGTCTCAGTGATCCTGGGCAAGTCACTTAACCTCTGTTTGCCTCAGTTTCTTCATCTGTAAAACTGGGATAATAATAGCACCTACCTTCCAGGGTTGTTGTGAGAATCAAATGAGATAATAATTGTAAAGCACTTAGTACAGTGCCTGACACATAACAGGCACTATATAAATGTTAGCTATTATTAATTATTATTGTATCAAAATTCTCTTGTAGCACTTTATCTTTCCTGATGATATCTTCAAATCTGTCATGAAAGAAAAATAAGCAGAGAAAAAACTCAGAAAGACTAAATTTAACTTTAAAAAAATGATTAGTATGCATTTGTGTGGCATTTCTACTTTTGTGGTTTGGGCTAGTACATGTCATAAAGCCTTAAAATATAAAATGCAAGAAGGCAATAGACTATTTTGCAATCTAAATAGCATATTATACATTCTCAGGAAATATAGCATACTAGTTTCAAAGTGGTGTGTGTGTGTGATTGGAGTAGGATGCTTTTTCTTCCAAGATGATGGATGGTAATAAAGATTTTCAGTTTTTATAGTGTTTGTCTTTGAACTTCAAGAGGGCTTTAACCTTACATTTTCATAATAAATTTAAGCATAGCTGACATTATAAGTTAATTATGAAATTACCTTAAATTGAATGGGCCACAGGGTTATTTCCCTAAATGATAAGACATTTTTCCTTTCCCATTAGGTCAGAAGAGTGCTTTACTGAGTCATTGTAGCCAGAATGAGGCCTTGACTTCTGTTTTGTCTGTTTTTCTCTATCAAGGAGAATGATGCCAAGATTAAACCAGAGAGAACAGAATGGATCGAGAGAATTTAAAACCAATATAAATATGACTACAAGTAAAAGAGTTCCTCATCCTAAATTCATTCATTTATCAGTGAATTTTAGCAACTTCTGTATGCTGAGCACTGTTCTAGGTGCTGGAGAAAATAAAAGAAAGTTAAGATAATGTAGTGCACATGTACATGCCATCTTGGAGTTTATACAGTATATTTGTGCCATAAAACACATGGATAAGTAATACCTAAGTATATTAGAAGGGTGGGAAACAGTACTAGATGAGATTGAAGGGGAAAGATCAGACCCAGGAGACCAGAAAAGGCTTTATGGAATAGGTATAAGAAATGACATAAGCAAAGACAGAATAGCAAAAAAAATAGTCTGATTTGGATGAGTCATGTGGTGAACTAGAATAATTTGGGATAAAGCTGGAAAGGTAGCTGGTGCTTGGAAAGGTAGAGTGCTTTGAACGATATACAAAGGAATCTGAACTTCTGCAGCCAAAGGAGCCCCTAAAGATTTTTGATCAGAAGAGTAATAAAACCAGGTCTCTCCATGAAAAAGATTTTTCTGAAAGAATAAAGGACAGATTGGAGTAGAAGACAGAAGACTTATACTGGTTTGAATGCATGGGAATAACAAGACGGCTATGGATATTTGAGATATTACAAGTGAAATTAACAGGCCTTGGCCAACCCAGGCAAACTGGATTTGGGAACAGAGATCAAACATAACATGCATACAAGCAAAAATATGGAAGTTATAGTCAACTCAAGGGGAAGGTTTAGCTTGGTTTGGAGATTTTTTTTTTTGGCTAGGTGATGGGATTAAGTGACTTGCCTAGAGTCACATTGTTAGTAAGAGTAATGTATCTGAGGCCTGATTTGAACTCAGCTCCTCCTGACTCTAGGGCTGGTGCTCTATCCACTGTGCCACCTAGCTGCCCCTTGGTTTGGAGATTCTTAACCTCTTTGTGTGTCATCAACCTCTTAGCAGTCTACTGAAACCTATGGACCTCTTTTTAGAAAGTCTTTAAGTGCATAAAATAAGCTATATTGGATTAAAAGGAAACCAATTATATTGAAATACAATTTTATACATATCTGTCTATATGTATATAGACGCAGAGTTCATAGGCACTATGACAACCCTATATGTAGGAGGATATATATATATATATTTGAAGCTCAAAAGTAAGGACTAAAGATAAGGTTTGTGAGTCTTCATAGTGGTGTGGTGGCAGTTGAAGCTGTGAAATTGAATGGGCTTGTCTTTGCCCTCTTTCTCCCATCTACAAGCTGGATAACCAACCACTTGTCTGTGATATAAAGTGATTTATACTAAAAGTAAGGGTTGGACTATGTAGTATTTAATATTTCTTCCAACTCAATTCTGTGACTAGATGATCTGAGAACATGATAGCACAAAATTGACTAACAGAGTTGATATCCAAAATAAGTAAGATATTAATGTACCCTACCTACCTGCCCTTGATGAATTCAAGCCACCTAGCCTAGTTGAACTATACTCTCAGTTTCTGAAAAGCTGGCAGATATGATTGGTGAGCCATTGTGATAATTGAAAGATCACGGGAAATAGAGAATATTGGTGAAGAACAAATATCTTGATTTT